CTGCAGGACGCTGGGCCCTGCTGTGCACATCCTTGTTTGTGTCTGCTGCCCTTCCATAAATCTCTGCCTCGGCTGGCTCTCTCCTCACCCCCTGTTCCTTCCTGGAATGTGGCTGAGGCATTTTCCCCTGTCATGATAATAAATGGGTTGTTTGCCTCAGGAATGCCTCCATCTGCCAATGGAGGGGTCTTCCAGGGGCTCAGCAGGTTCCAGAGCTCAGCAAGGTCCAGAACTCAGCAGGTTCCAGGGCTCAGTAGGTGGTGCTGGCCCAGCCCAAGGGCTGCCACCTCTGCAATGTCACCTCACACTCCAGGCAGTGGGAAACAGGAGCTCTGCCCTGCCCTGGCCTTTCCTGGGCTCTCCAGAGACCTGGGCTCCTGGAAACAGGCACAACAGAGCTGGGCAGCAAACGCAGCCCTGCCCTTCACCCAGAGCAGCAGTGAGAACTCACTGGAGGGATGGGGCTTCTCCCTCACCCCTCTGGGGAGCAGGAGGCTGTGTCCAGCTGATGCTGTGCTCTCTTTGGCATGGGACAGTGTTTTCCATAACTTCCAAGCCAGCATTGCCAGAGCAGTACAACCCAGTAAATGATGGGACCCAGATCTGTCTTGCCTCACTCTTGGTGATTTAAAGGACTCAGTTCCTTCTCTCCAAGGCTTCTGCCATGCCACAGGCAGTGGTTTGGGCAGCAGGGAGCAGCTGGGATGTTTCAGAGCAGAGGCATCTGTGCCCTTTTGTGCAGCTCCATTTCCTTTCTGAGGAGCTGGAAGCCGCTTTGTCCTGGGATTTGTTTCAAACAAAGATCAACCTGTTCCTTTCTAATAAGGCCATGTGGGTTTGATGTGGGTTTGCTTCCCCACCCGTGGGATGTGTCTGGGCCTCCTTCCCTTCATGCTGGGGGTTCAGGCTGCCTGAGCCCCCAGGTGAGCAGGGCCCCCCGTGTGTCTTTGCAGTACGAGGACCGTCACGCCAAGTGGGACACGAACCAGGCTGGCTTCAGCCACAGCCACCAGCATGGCTTCGGCCTGCTCAACGCCTGGAGGCTGGTGAATGCTGCCAAGGTAATGCCCTGCCCTGCCACCCCAGCCCAGCCCCACGGCAGGGACAGCTCCTGTGCTGTGACACCGCTGCCGTTCAGCGCTTTGGCCACTGTCCTGCTGGCCCTGCCTCTGAGGCTGCTTTGGCTGTGAGCTCACGGGGCTCCCAGCAGGGCCTGAGAGCTGCCCCTGAGAGCTGCTGCTCTCCAGCACTATATATAGCCATGGTCAGGGCCCTGATCCACCGTGACGGAGCAGCCCCAGCACCTTCCTCCCTCTGCAGGGGCTGCAGGGAGGGTGTCCTGCCCCACAGCCAGGGGATGTCCTGCCCCAGAACCAGGGGGTGTCCTGCCCCACAACCAGGGGGGTGTCCTGCCCCACAACCAGGGAGTGTCCTGCCCCACAGCCAGGAGGTGTCCTGCCCCTGAACTAGGTTTTTCTCAGCTGGCAGCTCTGGAGCAGTGGTGTGCTCACAGCAGGCTGAGGCGTCCCCATCTCTGTCACACGGAGCCCCGGGCACGTCCCTTTGGGTCCCAGCTGGGTGTGAAGCTCTGTCCAGCTGTGTCAGGTCACTGTCACTGCCAGCTGTGCCCCCAGGGTCACAGGGACCTCCAGGCTGCTCCCTCTTCCTGCAGGCACTTGGGTTCTGCTGTTCCCTGTCCCCTGTACCAGGGGTTGGAGTGGGACAGCCTCAGGACACCACTCAAACCCAGAGCTGGGGAGTCCCAAACCTTCATCAGCCCTCGTGGCTCCCAGGCTTTCCCTCCTTTCCTGAGCGTGTGGGCACTGCTCCCATCCCTGGGTGTCCCAGAGCACCATCAGGAGAGGCCCCTTGGCCTGGGCCCACATCCAGCCCAGGAGCAGCCTGTGGGAGATGAGGGATGGGTATGCAGGGAGGCTGCAATCCGTGCTGAGCCCTCTCTGCTTCCCCTGGCAGATCTGGGAGTCCGTGCCCTACCTGGCCTCGTACGTGAGCCCCGTGCTGAAGGAGGGCAGGAGCATCCCCTGGCTCCCTCAGGAGCTGGAGGTGGCCTGGAATGGTAAGAACAGGTGTGCCATGGGTGGAGAGCAGGGCCTGCCCTGCCAGCTGTGCCAGGCAGAGCAGGGCCTGTCCTGCCAGGTGTGCCATGGATGGAGAGCAGAACCTGCCCTGCCGGGTGGCACAGCCAGGCAGGACCAGCCCTGGGCGGCAGGAGGCCAGGAAGGGGTTAAGTGCTGGGCTGCCTGGGCTTTTTCCGCTGCCCATCCCCAGGGGATCCCCTCCCCACATCCCCATCCCTGCTCTGATGTGTCTGGGGAGCCAGACGGGCTTGGGAGCGGGGCTGGGCAGCGGCCAGAGCTGCTCTGCTGCCTTTGACCATTTTAGGAAATGCTGCAGCTCCCGACTTGGCCGGGCTGTCCCGAGCAGCAGCGGCTGCCCCGGGCTACCAGGGCAGGGAGAGCTCAGCCCAGCCCTGCCTGGTCCCAGCAGGCCTGCAGGCAGGGGACACTGCTGCCTCTGTCACTTGCCTGCCCTGCCATGTGCCCACGTCCCCTGGCAGGGGCTGGAGCAGCCACCCAGCTCTCCCCACTGCAGAGGGGCTGTGGTCAGCAGCCCTGGGGCTGTGGTCAGCAGCTCTGGGGCCGTGAGCATTCCTGGAGCTGGGAATGGCTGGAGATGGGCTGGGCCAGCCTGGACACCTCCCAGTCCCACACAGGGCAGTGGGGAAGAGGCAGAGGGCACGTGTGTGTCCTGTGAAGTGGCACCACAGCCCAGTGGGGCTGCCTGGCAGTGGGGACTCCATCCCAACGCCACCAGCCTTGACCAACCAGCCTTGATTATTCCTCTACATCTCTATCTACTGATGAGGAGCTTACTCTTCTAGCATATTAATTACAATAATAATTCCCTTTCCCAGTGACCCCTGCTGACCTGCAGCTGTCTGGCATGAGGACCCTGGAGCACGTGGCTGTCACTGTCACCATAACCCACCCTCGCCGTGGCAACCTGGAGATCCGGCTGCTGTGCCCCAGCGGGATGATGTCCCTGATCGGCACCACCCGCAGCATGGACTCGTGAGCAGCGAGGGCACAGGGCAGGGCTGGGTCCTGCTGCTGCTGCCTCTGTGACCCCTCAGGGGTTGTTTCTGCTCCCCTCTTGGCAGGGACCCCAATGGCTTCTCTGACTGGACCTTCTCCACGGTGCGCTGCTGGGGCGAGGAGGCGCAGGGCACCTACAGGCTGCTCATCAGGGACATCGGTGAGTGCTGCCCTCAGGGCACCCTCAGGAGTGCTGGCAGCTCTGTGCCATGTCCCAGCGAGTGCCAGCTCCTGTGCTTGGCTCAGAGTTCCCCACTGGAGCAGCCTGCTTCCTCCCCAGGGGACGACAGCCTGAGGCCGGGCACCTTGAGGCAGTGGCAGCTGACCCTGTATGGCTCCTCCTGGTCCCCAGCAGACATGAAGGAGAGGCAGAGGTAGGGCACCACGTCCCCCAGGGGTAGAACACCCCGTCCCCAGGTTGGAGGGAGCCAGGAGAGGGAGGATGAGGAGTTCATCCCTGCCTCCCTGTGAGCAGTGGCTGGGTTGGAGCCGTGTTGCTGCCAGGTGAGGCTGGGGCTGCCCTCACACCTCACAGGGCTGCAGCACACAGAACACAGCTCTGTGTGCTGAAGGGGACACTGCAGACCCTTTGTGGGTGTTTTGGAGCCCCCCTACCCACGGGAGCCTCACGGGTGTCTCTGTCCCCAGGCTGCTGGAGGAAGCCATGAGTGGGCGGTACCTGAGCAGTGACTTCTCCCTGCCCTGTCCCCCAGGGCTGGACATCCCTGAGGAGCAGCGTTACACCATCACAGCCAACACCCTCAAGGTGAGCCTGCCTGCAGGCTGGGAGTCCTCCATGCCCCAGGATGGGCTGGAAGGGCAGGACCCTGCTCTGTGCCCTCTCTGCTGGGCACTGGGCAGGCCCTAAGCAGATTTTTCAAGGGGTTTCCCTCTGCAGACCCTCCTGCTCTTGGGATGCTTTGCCGTGTTCTGGACGTTTTACTACATGCTGGAGGTTTGCCTGACAAGGAACGAGGTGGGGCTGGACCTGGCCTGCTCCAGCTCCAGCAGCTGCAGGTGGTACCAGCAGGGCAGGAAGCACCGAGCCCTGGAGAGCGACCTGGAGATGGAGTCGGTGCCTCTGTACCGGGAGAAGGACGTGGAGGAGGCTGAGATGGAGTGTGAGCACCTGGAGCCTGCCCAGGACGGGCAGGAGGGGTCCTGGAGCCCCACACACCCCAAACTTTCCAGCAATGGCAGAGCTGGGAGCTTCCACGAGGCAGACCCGGGATTCCTGGGCCGGGAGGCATCGACTGAACTCCTCGGGGAGGACAGGGAGCACCAGCCCTGCTGACTGGGGCTGGGCTGGGCTCCCTCCCTTGGTACGACCTGCCTGGGCTCAGGCAGCACAGACTGGTTCCTGAGCCTCCACGGACCATTGCCACTGCGTCCTGCGGGAGGTGGTGCTGGAAGGGGCTTGGAAACAAGGAGAGAGGGCTGGTACTGCAAAGGGAGCTTCCCTTCCCTCCTCCTGGAAAACAAAGCAAGCCTTAAACCCTTTCCTGGTGGAGCCTGCCCTGCTGGACGCTCAGGGCACCGTTGTGAGTGCAGTGCCATTCCCACCGAGCCCCTTCCTGCAGGGCCAGGACGTGTCCCTGTGTCCCTGATCTCTGCAGAGCCAGCCTGGGAAATGCAGCAGGGCCCCAGGAGCCGCCTCTGCAGGCAGGGACCCCGCAGCACTGGCATTTCCCCGGGCTGGCAGCCGGCCCCTACCCACCAGTTATCCCAGTTTAGAAGCAGGGAGTTGTTTCACTCATCTCCAGCCAGCACTTCTGCCTGCCCCCGTGCTCCAGTGCTGCTGATTCCTCCTCTGCAGTGGGCACAGAGCAGCTGTGGGGCGGGGGAGGCAGGAGCCAGCCTGTTTGGGGCAGCATGGGCTGTCCCCGTGTCACTGTGGTGGCAGTAGGCCTGCCTTGGGCTGCAGACGGGAGCCTGAGTTGCTCTGGCAGTGGCTCTGTCCGAGCAGGGCTGGCTTCTTCTCATGTCTTTGGGTTCGGTGGTTTATTTTTTTAAAGCTGGGGTTTGTTTTTTAATCAGCAAAGCCCTTTTGTGTAGCTTTCCAAATAAAGCCTGAAAAACCCTCCTCTCCCCCCGCCCCATCCATCACTCCTCTGCCCTCCCAGAGCTTCCTCACTGTGGAAAAATGTGTCGGGGGGGAACCCAGTGCTGGGTGCTGCATCTGGGGGGCTGAGAGCCCTCTGTGCCCTGGGGTAAAGGGGCTGCTCAGGCAGGGGAGGCAAGGGCTGGGCCAGAGCGTGGGAAGGAAGAGGACCAAAGTGGCTGTCATGGTTCAGCGGGGAGAGGGCAGAGTTTTCCAAGGCAGGCAGGGAAAATCCAAGGTTTTCCCGGCTTTGGAGGTGGCAGAAGGAGCAGCTCCCTTTTAGGGAGCAGGACTTTGTCTCTCCAGGCACCACCGAAACCCCGTCAGGCCACGCTCGATGAATAGAACCTTTTAATTTTGACAAAAACCAAGTACAAAACCGAGGCCGATTCTCTCTTCTCCCCGTGGCAGGGATCTCTGCGGCGGTGGCGGGGGCAGGTGCGGGCGGCGCTCCCGGGTCCCTCCCGAGGGCTCCGGCCGGGGCAGGGCCGGCTGGCGGCGGGGTGCGAGGCCGGGGCTGCGGGGGCTGCCCGGGGCACGGCGCGGGGGGCACGGCCCCGGGCCGGGGCTGCGGCGGGGCTCGTGCTGCCGCTGGCGGGGCGATGCGGCGGGCGGGCGGCTGCTCCTCAATAAATACCAATGGACGGGCGGCGGCGCTGGGCCGGGGAGCGGAGACGGAGGTCCCGGCTGGGGAGGGCTGGGGGCGGCGCGGCAGAGCCTAGCTGATGATCTGCCGGGGCCGGCCGTAGCTCATGCCCGCCTGTGACGCTCCCTTGTTGCTGCCCATCTGTAGCCCGATGATGTTCTTGCCCTCCTTCAGCTGGCTCTCGGTGAACTCCCGCTTGTGCTCCTGAGCTTTCCTGCGGGCCACGGGGAGAGGCCGTGGGGCACCCGCACCCCCGGCTGCCCGGGAGCACCCCCTGATCCCCAGGGATGTCCCAGCCACCCCGCGATCCCCAGCTGAAAGTCTGGCATCCCAACTCCGTGTGCTCCAGGCAGAGCCAAGAGCCAGCTCTGAGCAGCCGCAGGACAAGGCAGTCCCCGTGCCCAGCTCGGCACTCCCGCACTTACTTCATGAACCAGTTGGGGTCCCCGTGGTAGTTGCCGTCGTTCTTGGTGACTGCCAGGCTGCCCAGGGCCATCAGCGTCCTCTGCACCGCTGCCATGTCCTTGGCTGCCCAGGGAGAGAGGGTTGTGAGGACAGGCACAGCACAGCGGGACCCCCTGGGACCCCCAACCCCGCCTGCCCCCCTCCCGCACCTTCAAACAGGTCCACGGTCTGGAAGATGTCTGTCTTCACCACTCCATAGTCCTCGGCCGCCTTCAGGAACTGGGCAATCTGTTCCATCTGCTTGAAGACCATGGTGGGCGGCGCGTCGGGGATCTTGACAGGCTTGGAGCCAGAGGGGTAGAGGCTGTTCACCAGCCTGCTGAGCACCTGCCACAGAGGGGAGCCTGGGCTCGATGCACTGCCCACAGAGCCCCCTGTGCTGCCCACGGAGATCCCTGTGCTGCCATCAGAGCTCCCAGTGCTGCCCATGGAGATCCCCATGCTGCCCATGGAGATCCCTGTGCTGCCCATGGAGATCCCTGTGCTGCCCATGGAGATCTCTGTGCTGCCCTCTGAGCTCCCCGTGCTGCCCACAGAACTCTCCATGCTGCCCATGGAGCTCCCTGTGCTGCCCTCAGAGCTCCCCATGGAGCCCCCCATGCTCCCCATGGAACCCCCCACGTTGCCCTCAGAGCTCCGCACAGCTGCCCAGCCCCAGCCCCACTTACGATGCCGTTCTTCAGCCAGACCTGGAAGCCCAGGCGGCCGCGCTCGGGGCGCCCCACAGAATCCCCGCACTGCGCCACGATCCACTCCACCAGCCGGGCCTCCAGCTCATCGTCGTACTTCTTCTCGATCTTGGACTGCACGTCCCTGCTCATGCCATAGGCTGGCCCTACGTTTGCCATGGCTGCGGTGCTGGGAGACCTGGTGGCACGACAGGGACAGTCAGGTGTGGAGATGCTGTCTCCTGTCCAGGGACCCCGCAGACACCGTGGTGTCATCTGCCTGCCACTCTGCTGCAGTGGGGACAAGCCCTTCCGACTCTTCCCTCACCCTTCAGCTCCATCCAGGTGTGCTTGGAGGAAAATTCACCACCATGACCTCCAAAATCTGCCCCGACAGACAGTAGGTGTCCAGGCAGAGATGCCTCATCCCCAGCTCAGACTGTGCACTGGAGCAGCCTTATCCCTGTCCCTTGCCAGTCCTTGGTTTGCATGGATGTCCCTGGTGTGACCCATGCCAGGATCCAGAGGGCAGGGTCACCACATCAAGGCTGGCTGGCTGTGGCATGGTATGGTGGCTTTGGCACAGCAGGGTGACCATGGGATGGTCTTGGCACGGCAGGGTGGCCATGGGATGGCCTTGGCACAGCAGGTCCAGGAGCTGGGGAGGAGCGCGGGAGCAGCGGGAGCCGTGCCCGTGCCCTTGTA